TATTAAATATAATCATACCGCCCAGCACATAACAAAAATAAACACCAGTATTTGGTATGAACCGGTATACCGCCCAGCACTAATATATATATATATATATATTGGTTGATTAGTCACTACAGTTCATAGAGTCTGTGTTGTTGTTTTGAGTTAGTCTGAGCAGTGTCCTCTGCTCTTGTGTTCAGGTGAGGAGCTCGGCTGATGGATGAGGATGAGGATGATGTGCGCAGGAAGGGTCTACAGCACTGGCCTTCCTCCCGCGTTCAGATAAAGCAGACCGAGACCGCAGGGATACCCCCTCTATGCCCCAGCGGCATGCTGCCCTGTCGAGTGCATGTGGAGCCCAGACGCTTTCTCTACGGTAAGCCACAGAATCCCTAGATGGGTGTCTGTGTGTATTCCTGACCTCAGCGGCTTCATTACCTGTGTGTGTAACCAGTCGCTTTGCAATGCAAACCACGCCAGCGTTCACATGCACTCCATGTGATCAGATGTAGAATCAGTGCTGCATGACGCTTGCAACACCAAACACAAGGGTTCGATTCCCATGAGCTGAACTGTTGTACCTTGAAGACACCAAGTGAATTAAAAAAATAAATAAAAGCATCTGCCAAATGCTTAAACATAAACGTAAACAAAGATCCAGAAGCTAGGTTCCTGTTATAGAGCGCAATAATATTGAATATAAGTTGAAATCACACTGACTTCTGAAAAAAAAAAAATCAAATGCGAAAGTGCAATATTAAACTTTTATTAAATTTTTTTAATACTTTTAATATTTCTATATTTCAAGTTTAATAAAATATTCTTAATTTTATATATAAGTTGAAATATATGTTTTTATATGAAATATGAAATATAAATATATGAAATATAAATTTTTTATAAGTTGAAATTATATATAAGTTGACTTCTGAAAAAAAATCTAATGTGAAAGTGCAATATTACAATTTTATTAAATTTTTTATACTTTTAATATTTATATACTTCAAGTTTAATAAAATATTTTTTTAAATTAAGTCTTAATTATATATAAGTTGAAATCACACTGACTTCTGAAAAAAATCAAATGCGAAAGTGCAATATTAAACTTTTATTTTTAAATATATATATATATTTTATATTTAAAAAAAAAATTATACTTCAAGTTTAATAAAATACTTTAGTCCTTGATCAATTATAATTTATATATACCGGTAATAATCTCAGAGCTTTGATTTAAAGCAAAAAAAGTATATGGTACAGTGGGGCAAAAAAGTATTTAGTCAGCCACCAATTGTGCAAGTTCTCCCACTTAAAAAGATGAGAGAGGCCTGTAATTTTCATCATAGGTATACCTCAACTATGAGAGACAAAATGAGAAAAAAAATCCAGAAAATCACATTGTAGGGTTTTTAAAGAATTAATTGGTAAATTCCTCGGTAAAATAAGTATTTGGTCACCTACAAACAAGCAAGATTTCTGGCTCTCACAGACCTGTAACTTCTTCTTTAAGAGGCTCCTCTGTCCTCTGTTTTTATTTTATTTAATTTTTCACACACACACTCTCACTCACACACGCACACACGCACACACGCACACTCGCACACTCGCACACTCGCACACTCGCACACACACACACACACACACTCACACACACACACACACTCTCTCACTCTCACACTCACACACACACACACACTCTCTCACTCTCACACTCACACACACACACACACTCTCTCACTCTCACACTCACACACACACACACACTCTCTCACTCTCACACTCACACACACACACACACTCTCTCACTCTCACACTCACACACACACACACACTCTCTCACTCTCACACTCACACACACACACACACTCTCTCACTCTCACACTCACACACACACACACACTCTCTCACTCTCACACTCACACACACACACACACTCTCTCACTCTCACACTCACACACACACACACACTCTCTCACTCTCACACTCACACACACACACACACTCTCTCACTCTCACACTCACACACACACACACACTCTCTCACTCTCACACTCACACACACACACACACTCTCTCACTCTCACACTCACACACACACACACACTCTCTCACTCTCACACTCACACACACACACACACTCTCTCACTCTCACACTCACACACACACACACACTCTCTCACTCTCACACTCACACACACACACACACTCTCTCTCACACACTCACACACACACACACTCTCACTCACACACTCACACACACACACACCTCTCACACACACTCAAAAAGCGCGTTGTTAATGTTCCCAGACGCTGCAGCTTCCTGTTTGACTTCTGTGAAACATCGACGTCACGACTTCATGACTCATGGCTTTCAGACTGCAGAGGCCTTTTCTCTCTCTGCTGTTTATTTTTACACGTCTCTGCTTCTTTAGCACTTGTGCCAAATCATAGAGAACATCTTTGAGGAAGGTTGAAAGATACTTTAAGCACTTTAACATGATGAAAACACTGCCAAGCTTGAGCTCAGTCCTCTTTTCTTTGAGATGCTGTGATGAGATGGAGATGTACAGCTTTATATGAGCTTGTGTTCTAAACAGACGAATCTTTTCTTCAGGCAAGCATACACTCAATAGCATTCACTCGTTGGCAGTTACGAGGGAAGTTCATTATCAGCATTGACTGTGGTAGCGTGAATCTGCTGTTTGCTGTTGAGATGTTCATGTTTAATATTTAATGTTCAGAGTCACTGTAAGTCAGTCATTGGCCTCCTGCTAGCGATGCACCATAACACCACAATAGCGAAACAAAATAAAGTTTATTTAATAATCAATTACTTAATCAAATTTATTTAATGAAAAACTATGCAAAAAAAGTGCAATTTAGGGTTAAAAAAAAATAATGTTTTGCAGACTGAACTTAAATTTAGGGTTTAAAAAATAAAAATAATTTTGTTTATGTTTTACGTTTATATACCTGTTTTTTTTGTTACTATATTTATACTAAAGACCTTTTTTTTTTCTTTTTTTTTTACAAATGACTTTTTTGTACTTATTTAATACAATTTTGTAGTTTTTGGTTTTGGTTTTTTACTAAAATATAAAAGGTGCATTGTGTGTCACACAGACAAATACAAAACACCACCTCACACGACACTAAAATAATGCAATAAACTTTGATTTAACAACATTAAACCTGTATATAATATATATAACTGATAAGAAATTTGTAAATTTCAATTAAAAAAATGTGAGCTGTCACACAGAGAATTCTGGGAATGTCATATATAGGGAATGGGAATTTTATATATAAAAAAACTTTACTTTTTATATATAACATTCCCAATACCTATGTATTTCCACTTTAATTTGGAAGATGACTTTTTTTTTTTTGCTTTCAAAAATTGTACATTTAACAGTATTTTACTGTAAAATTACATGAAATGTCCCTTTAGAGCTATTGCAGTTTTTCACCATATATAGTAAGTGAATTTACTGTTAACCATTTTACAGCGCAGCACTTTTTTTTGTTGGCAGCAGATATATAAATGAGTCTCATTACGAATACGTCGCACGTATCGCATTGTCACAAATGCAGCATTATAAAGAGTGCGCGCCTCTCACTTTACGCTGGTTGCTATTTGATCGCGTCACGTCATTGTCCGGTACAATTTATTCTGTCTTTTTGCATATTCACCGATCACCGAAAGAGCTTTTTTTTTGCTATTTTCGGCCGAATAATTTCAGTTGCCGAACATTTGGTGCATCCCCATCTGTAATGATGTGTGTAATACTGTTTCTCTGAATAGGTAACACAGGACTGCTGCTGCTAGCGCCGCCTAGCCGCTCTCGGCCTCCAGACGTGGTTCTCCGGCAGAACCTGCGCATGATGGATCCGGCGGAGAGCGTGGAGACCCTCATCGGGCAGAAGCTCCAGCTGATCGGAGATCAGTTCTATCAGGAGCACATGATGGTGAGTGGAGATCTATGAACGTGTTTTTTTGTGCTCTGGATCATGATCGCATTGTGTCTTGCTTTAGCGCTCCTTTACACAAAAGTGTTCCATGTGCCGTGTTTGTTTTGGCCGGACTGTTTCCTGACTCTGGTCTAGTTGTTTGACCCCAAAGACACCGGAGCGACCCCTCGCTCTCACTTCCTGTTTACTGCGCTCTTTTCCTCCAGTGTGTCTCCATAACAGTGTGTGAGTGTGTGTGTGTGTGTGTGAGAGTGTGTGTGATGGATCCGGCGGAGAGCGTGGAGACCCTCATCGGGCAGAAGCTCCAGCTGATCGGAGATCAGTTCTATCAGGAGCACATGATGGTGAGTGGAGATCTATGAACGTGTTTTTTTGTGCTCTGGATCATGATCGCATTGTGTCTTGCTTTAGCGCTCCTTTACACAAAAGTGTTCCATGTGCCGTGTTTGTTTTGGCCGGACTGTTTCCTGACTCTGGTCTAGTTGTTTGACCCCAAAGACACCGGAGCGACCCCTCGCTCTCACTTCCTGTTTACTGCGCTCTTTTCCTCCAGTGAGAGTGTGTGTGTGTGTGAGTGTGTGAGTGTGTGAGTGTGTGAGTGTGAGTGTGTGAGTGTGTGAGAGTGTGTTTGTGTGTGAGTGTGAGTGTGTGAGTGTGAGTGTGTGCGTGTGTGTGAGTGTGAGTGTGTGCATGTGTGAGAGTGTGTGAGTGTGCGTGTGTGAGAGTGTGTGAGTTTGAGTGTGAGAGTGTGTGAGTGTGCTTGTGCGTGTGCGTGTGTGAGAGTGTGTGAGTGTGAGTGTGCGTGTGTGAGAGAGTGTGAGTGTGCGTGTGTGAGAGAGTGTGAGTGTGAGCGTGTGCGTGTGTGTGAGTGTGCGTGTGTGTGCGTGTGCGTGTGTGAGAGTGTGTGAGTGTGAGTGTGCGTGTGCGTGTGTGAGAGTGTGTGAGTGTGAGTGTGCGTGTGTGAGAGAGTGTGAGTGTGCGTGTGTGAGAGAGTGTGAGTGTGAGCGTGTGCGTGTGTGTGAGTGTGCGTGTGTGAGAGTGTGAGCGTGTGCGTGTGTGTGAGTGTGCGTGTGTGTGAGTGTGCGTGTGTGTGCGTGTG